TTGTTACGAGGGCCAGATCTGACATAAATGTCACTTTATGCAGGAGCATACCGCATACCCTGCAGCTGTGGACAGGTTTACATCGGGACCACACAACGTAGCATCCAGACAAGAATAAAAGAACACGAAAGACACTGCAGACTTGGCCAACCTGAAAAATCAGCAGTGGCTTAACATAGCCTAACTCAAACAGGACACAGTAGCTTATTCCAAGACACAGAAAGGCTGGACAACACATCCGATTACCATGTCAGATCACACAGGGAAGCCATTGAAATTCATAAACATAAACACAGTTTCAACAGGAGAGAGTTTAAAAATAAAGAGGGCATAGTTTCCAGTCCTGAAAAACACAAAATGCTCTGCATCTTACAAAAGCACTACAGATAAGATTAGAATTTCATCAGTCAATCCATATGCAAAAGCACCTCCTCAGGAGAGCTCCTCCATTAAAATGTCCACAGCCTGGGGAACTCCTACAAGATAATGACTCAGCCCTACCCCACCTTCCTGAGTAGATAGAAATTACCTGCCTACCATTTTTGTTCTCACCTTGACACAAGAGAGTCCTCCATCTTACTGTGTCATACCTCTGAGGATGCCAGTCACAGCTGCTGGCGAAACGTCAGGTCCTACAATGCCAAGACCACAGCCATACAGCCCGGAAAAACTACAACTACTAAATGTCACTTTGTCGGGCCGGGCCATGTGTGCCGTAAGACGTAACGCGAGGTACGGGAGATGTAAACTTTATAAAGGACACAGGCAAACCCAAGTAACGATATTATTATTGTTTTAACTCAAAATTCAAACATACTTAAAACATTCACGTTCTTACAGAATGAATTTTATTGTTACAGCGCATAGCCAGCAATATAAACCATAAAAGTGAATTACAATAACAAAATGGTAAAACCTCCAGAGCATATCAAAGATTAAAAGGGGATAGCATTGTCCAATCGTTCTGTTCACTAAAACCAGACTTAAGAATACGCTGCAATAAAACACAATAAAAAGGAATAAAATATAAGTTTCAAAAGTAGGAGTAGAAGTTAAAATCAAACAGTCCTAACCCAAGTGACAACCCGGACACTGATGAGCTTTTACAACCATGGAGCAAAATTTCGCAATCTGATGGAGCACTGTATGGTCAAAGTTAGAAAACAAATTCTCTATCTTATCCTGATCTGAAGTGCCAGCCAAAAAAGGATCAATAAGTTTTATACGAGCCTCGTCAAATAATGGGCACTTCAGAAACACATGTTCCTGGGATTCGATCTCCCCCGACGCACACAAACATAGCCTCTCAATTCGGGGGAGTTTTTTGAATTTACCCTCAAGGACTGGATGTTCTTACAGTATTTCCTTGAAGTATCTTCCTGATGTCATCCCTCTTACTTCCACCTCCCACTGCTCATTAGAACTGGGACAGTATACAGGGACCTAATGTCCAGTCTCTGTCCTCTGGCAATAAAGGAAATGACCAGTTGCTTGCGATCTGGATAAGAAGGTTAGGGTTAGGGTCCAGTTCTGGCCACGGGCCATATGTTTGACACCCCCATTCTAGGCATTCTCCCAAAGGGCAGAAACGTCAGAATTTGTTCCTCTACCAGCTGCATGCAGACGTCAGAGCGAAGACCCCCCCCTTCCTTTCCAATAGCACTGGATTATTCCCAATGTCCCGTGACTCCTTTGCAGGTGTTCTGGACCTCCAGGGGACTGGGATCCACATTTGGGGGACTTACTTTGCACCAGAAGAGACACGTCTGAAACAGAACATGTTCAACAGTTCCAGGTTTGCTACGCGGTGTGAGCATCTCAGGACACAGAGAATGACAGCTTCGGAGCCAGTTTGTTGTAGTGGTTAAGTGCGCAGACTCTAATCTGGGAGAACCGGGTTTGATTCCCCACTCCTCCACTTGCACCTGATGGATGGCCTTAGGCAAGCCGTAGTTCTGTCAGAGCTGTCCTTGAAAAAGAGCCGTTTCTGTCAGAGCTCTCTCAGCCCCACCTTCCTCACAGGGTGTCTGTTGTGGGGAGGGGAAGGGAAAGGGAGTTTCTAAGCCTTTCTGAGATTCCTTTGCGTAGTGAAGGGCGGGGTATAAATCCAGTCTCCT